GATTATTCTAAATCTTGAATAAATTTCGAATGTTTTTCTTTTTCTTCTATAGGATATTCGTAGTCTAGTAGAAGATCGTATTCATGATAAATTAAATGATAAAATTGATCAATGCTTAGATATTAGTAATTAAAAATATTCATTCATTTATTTTGTTTTTTTATCTTTATCAAAAATTAATTTTAGCTTCATATGATTGGATGATGCAAGAAGCGTCTGGTATGGCTAGTGATTATATTACAACAACAATTCAATTTCTTGAAAATACATTTCGTGCATTTACACATTTACCAGTAAGTTTTGTTATTATTAAAAAAATAATCATCAAAGGATATTTCTTTTTTTTTTATTATTATTAATAATCAATAAAATATTTCATTTTCTTTTTTCTTTTTGTTTTCTAGAGAAGAGTAAGTTAGATTAATTAATTTTCACCTATAGATTGACTATCTGCAAGAAAAAATAATAATAAGAACCTAATTGCTCGATATCTAGATGGAATATCTAAAAGATAATTTTTGTGTTTTGCTAACTGCTCTAATTAAATACTAAGATTTCTTCTGGATTTTTCGGAATATTCGTTTTTTTTTTCATTGAATATTTTTATAGACACAATTATCTCAAACAACATGTTTATCAGCTTGTAAGCATATATCAACATCATTAACAGAGAAAATTCTTAGTCAGGATGTTAAAGCAATATCATTTGGTGCACTTGAACAAATGAGTCTTGATTTAATGCAATGTGAAGGTTCGATTTTTTATGACTAAATTTCTTTTTTTTTTTCTTTTAATCTTATGAAAGAAGAAAAAAGATTCATTTTTGTTTAGTATTTGCATCAAAAGTTAATATTCCAAATTTAGATGGTGAAACATTATTATTATGTTTTCAAGATTTACGTCAAGTAAAAAAACAAAAAAAAAAAGAAACTAATAAAGTTAAATTAATTATTTATTTGATATATTTTAGTTACTTGATCTTATTATGGATAAACAATGGTCAGTTTATTTTGATCAATATGGTGATCCTAATTCACCATTTGGACGTGTTAATCCACATACAGCTTTAACTGTTATTGAAAAGTATGTTAATTAAAATAATAATAATACTTAAATGATTTTTTTTTGTCTCGATTTATTTAGATTACGTGAAGGATTAAAACGACCATTATTACTTAAATTTAATCGGCCAGCTTTAGAAAAAGAAAATATTAAATTATTAGAAACAGTTGCAAAAGATTTACGTAGTTTAATTAATGATATTTCATAAATAAATTTTTTGATTTTGAACAAAAAAAAATTTTTTTTTTCGGTGCAGTTCTTTATGAATTGTTATACTTCTGTTTTCTTTTCATTCTCTTGTTTCTTTCATTATATTCCATGTATATTTGTGTGTTTGAAAATGTTATTTAGCTACGCAGTTATTTGATTATATACATATATATATATATATATATTATTTTTAAATGCGTATGTTTTTGTATGAAATAAGAAAAAAAAATATTATAGAAAATGAAATTTTATATTCAAATTTGTAATATTTAATCGTGATTTAAGATATCGATGAAATTGTCTCTTAAAATAAACAACTCAATCATTGAATGAACTGAAAATTCTTACAGAGAAAAGTATGCATTGAACTAGATTGATGCATTTTTTTTCCTACGACGAACACGTATTAATACAGTCCGACGAATGCAAAGTTTTTGAATCCGGATGCGAACTTCTACTTTTTATGGAATCTGTCGGATAAGGATAAAAGGTTGGTTCGATAAGCTTCCTTATGATGTTATAAAAATCAGCTGCAAGTAATATGTTAATGAAGAATTAAGTTTTTTTTTTTTACTTTTTAAAATAAATTCAAGTTTTTAGTTTTGTATACAACGAATGGGAAATAAAAAAAACTCGACTTGATTAACTACGAATATCGAAGGTTGTTTTTTTATCGAAATCCAGTCGAGTCTTAAATGAATCCAACAGGTTCTACTCAAGGGTCGACTTTCAAACATAAATAAGAACAAAGATTTTTTTCATTGTTCTCTTTTTTTTAAATGAGACGAGCTTCATCGTTTGCTTAAAATCCATATTCACTCGTTTATATGCTTTTAGATTGCTTACTTTTAGAAGGAAGACATAAAAAGAAAACATAAAATAAAATATATCTCATAGCTTTATTGATAGTCTTGTTATTTCTAGTGTTAAATAAAAAGATATCATTGCTTTTAGAAAAAAAAAAGCTTGTCAGAGCAGCTCCTTTGAGACTAAAATGTGTATTCTTTGAGCCTCATTATACTAATACCGAATACGTTAAGTAGAAAATCTCTAACAGATGTATTTGTTTTCCAAAGATAATCGATGGCAAAGGAAACAGTCTGTCTTATTTATTTCGGCTTTCGAACAGAGATTTTGTTTTTTCTTTTATTTACTGGCGCTCTAGTTTTTTGTTTTCCTTGTTGCTGTTCATTTTCGTATTTCTTCTAATCATTGATTTAACTGGAAAATAAGCCTGCTATACGTATCCATGATATCTACAGTAGATTTCAACGCACTATTATATATCTTGATAAGCTTAGAAACATTGATATCGATTGTTTCTTATAGAAACCTATTCCAACCATTCAAATTTTGAGAAAGACTTTGAAATATTCTAAAACAGTTTAAGTCATGTTGTTAATACCGTTCAACGCCTTTTACAGTTTGTGAAGAAACTCTGGAAAAGGAGTTTGACGCCTGTCAGTTTATCGAAACATACCCAATCATTATTTATCTTTCTCCTCCTTGTTACTATGAGGAAGGAGAAGCTGGAAAACCTTAGCTTGAAATCTGTACTCACTATATTTTTTCTTCGAAAAACATAATATAAGTTTCACAAACGTACAATGTTTTTGTTTTCTCTCTTTGAGGCTGAAAAAAATCTTACGATTTACCCTCTCCAGGTGTCAAATCACTTTGCGATCGAGACGATGTTTATTTAATGAGTGCTAGAGAGTAATACGAAAGTCTAGAATGGTTTGATTTTCCGGACCTTCGTTCTTGAGATATCGAAATTTTACAGGATTTTTTAACAAAAATCGTTGGTTCCCCTAAGATCACTTTCGAACTTCGACTGAAAACTCTGTAGATTAGTTAATTATGCAAGTTTTAACTTTTCTAGTATTTCCTTTCTGAAGATGTAAATCTATGAAAAAAAATTTTCTTTCACACATGAGAGAATTTCGAATATTGAATATCTCCGGATAGACGATACTAGGAAAAGTTACAATTTGCCCTACGAACTGATCTCATTAAAAATTTTGTTCATACAAAGTTTGAAAACGAAACTCGAAAGTAACCTGAGGAAGACTACCGCTTTTTGTTGAAAAACTCAGTAAAATTTTAATATTTTAAGAGCGAAGCTAGAGAAAACTAAACCATTCTAGACTTTTCTATTATTCACTAGTACTCATCCAATGAACATTGTCTTAGTCGAAAAACGATTTGACATCTAGAGAAACTCCCTCGTCAGCTAGATGTCAAAAAAACAATTCATTACATATACAACTTTGTGTAATAAACTCTACTTCTTACATTATAAATTTCATATTGCATACTCTGAAAAGTTTCATTTATTTTTTTTCTTTTGTTCAGCATATACATAAAACAAAACAAAACAAAACAACAAGAACACAAATGATACATGCGTTGATTAAACAGCAAAAAAAAAAGAAGGAAGACAATGAAAATATTATCTTGCAAATAGATCACCAGCACTAGGCAATGGTGCTACTTGCATATTATTAACATCTTGTGGTAAATTCTTTTTATGTTTTTCAATTTCTTCACGAATTAAATTTAATTTTGATAATTTATTTTTATAATCTTCTAAAAGTTTTTCTTCATATTCAATTTGTCGATCTTGTGCTTGAATATAACCTTGTAACATTTTAGCTGCATAACGACGTGAACGTAATTCACTTTCTAAACGTAAATTATATTCTTCAAGTAGACCATGTGCCATTTGAACAAGTTTATATAAATCTGTTGCTTCTTGTTTATCACGAAGATTTTTTAATAGATTTGAATCACTAACTTCAATTGGTAATGCAGCTATTTTTTCTCGTACCTAAAACCAAAGCAAAAATAAAAATTGTTTTATATTTTAGAAGTTAGATATGTGAATAAAAGAAAATTTACATCAGCATCAGATGATGGAGAATTTTCTAATTCTTGTAACATTTTAATAAGTTCATCAACAACTGGCACTGGTATAGGATTAATTGCTAAATCACGACGAATTTCTTCACGAAGAGATAATTTTCGTTTAGGTTTCCGTCGTCGTTTGGAATTATTTGCAGATGTTGATGATGGTTCAATTCGTTTACGTTTACCATGTCCATTTGTTGGATCATCATCATCTTCATCATCAGAATCTTTTTTCTGAATCTAATAAGACAGAATATGAATTCAAAAATCAGATATGTTTATCGTTATGAGATCTATCGTAAGATATCTATATTTAGTATATCTATCAAATTCTACACAGCTGCTCTCTTGGGATCTATTTAAATCTTACTTTGTATATCTGTTTTCATAAGAAAGTGTATATTGTATGACACTGTCACGTTTCCATATGCATGTCAATGTTTGAGTGTAATGTAGACTTTTTTTCCTTAAGTATTATTCATTTGTTAAGTCTGAATAGGAGATACAGAGTAAACAAATGTCTCTCACGAGGAAAATTCTATAACTGATTAATCGTTGTTGAATTGAGACTATGTGCATTATGTAGACACAAATGAGTTATGAATACGCTAAAAAGAGTTCGTGCATTTAGCTTATTGGTATGAAGATACTACACTTTTATGGTATTTTTTAAATCAATGTCGTTGTCCAGAAACACTGATTTTCGAATTTCGACTTGAAACTTTGCATAAAGGCAACCCTTAACAAGAGTAATTTCAGGTCTTCTGATTTTCTTCTATCTTGAAATAAGAACAATAAATCTGCTGGTTTATTTGAGCAATGTAAAAGATACACTATTGCCATAGTTGTATCTAAGAAGAGAAACAACGACAAGATCTGAAACATTCACAATAAACTAGTATCATTAAGATCTATCTCTATATAAAGTTTCAAGTTGAAATTTGAAAATCAGTTTTTCTGGTGTTCCTGACGGGGACCACGACATTCAAAACTCATTTGGGTCTACATAATGCATGCGGTTTCGACTGAAAAGCGATTTATCAGTTGAAGAACTTTCCTTGTTAGATTCTTTTTTTGATACGTTCTCATAGATCTTACTGCAAACGCATTGATAAAAATTAATAGATACTGACAACTTTGTAATTCATTGAATGACTATACAAAGAATGATTCATAAAGAAATAAACACTTAAAATGTAGGACTGTTGTGAATGAGAGGATTAGTTTTCTTTGAATCTTTAGAAGTGATGCATTTTTAATTCACTAATATCAAAAAAATTACGATAGTTTTTTAACAATGATATATTTCCGTAAAATAATAAAAACAATGAAAAAAAGATATTTGTAATTAGAAACGAAGCCATTCAGATCATAAGACCATCCTTCTTTGTTCATTGGTGTCCAGTCTATTCATAGTTTTAATTGAGTCTATCTTAACTAGATACGGACAACATGGTCTCGGTCCTACCAGGATCAACACTTTTCCATTGGGAGTGATATCCTGTAAAACTTGCGTCAAATGTCTTATTCTCACGACTCATGTGTTATAAAAGTTTATGCGAAAATTATTGGATAACAATCACTTCAATATCCGCTGTTATAATTTTGATAGTAAAATTAATCCCTTGTTTTTTCGTAAACAGCACACATTAGAGATCATGCGAGTCGTGCAAGTAGACTCTAGGGAGATATGAAAAACCTCAAAAGAATAATTTCTCTTAGACCTTCTCTCAAGAGTTATAGGTATTTTACTAGGATTTTAGCTACTGTCATAGTATATACCAACAAATCGAATGATGGTATTTCGACCTGAGATTTTCCCCACAGACAATTGTATTTGTCACTAGAATGACCTAAAAATTTCAGCTCAAAACACTGTTCCCCTTCCGAGATATTGAAGTCTTAAAAATCATTCATTCTACGAAAGATGCTAGAATTTTCTATTTTTTAGGACTTCAATATTTCGGGAAGGCAATATTTTTTTGAAATGAAATTTTCAGGGCGTTCTACAAACAAATAGACCTATCTGTAAGAAAAATCTCAGATCGAAATACCATCATACGATTTGTTGATATATACTATGGTAGAAGTTAAAATTCTAATCAAATGTCTATAACTCTTGATAGAAGTAAAATTATCTTTTCATATTAGTTCTTAATTTATTGAAACTTTATCAATATGAATTCTACATAAAGATATAATCTTACTCCATTTTCATAACTTGTTTTAAGTAATTTAATTGCATCAGGTTGATAAATTTGTCGTTCATTCCATATTTGAATAATTCTTTTAACAGTTTTATGAATATTTTCATCATCAACTTGACTAACAATATGTTGTACAGCTGAAGCAAGCATTGGAAGAAAATCTTTTACGAATTCACCACCTTTACGTTTATCATGTTGAATAACATCATTAGCAACATAAAGAAATGCTTTAAAAAAAGCAAAAAAACAAAATTTTATTCAAAAGAAAACAAAAAGAAAAATTTCTATTCTACCAATTTTTCTATCTGTTGTTGCACTAACTAATTCTTTTGCCCAAACATGAACAATTGTTTGTGATTGACGACGATGATGCATAAGAAATAATGATAATGTTTCAACACTTTGTTGTGATGTTGATAATTCACCAAAACGTTTAACAAGTTGAGATTCACTTACCATTGTTTTAATTGATTATAACAAATTATAAATTATTCTATCCATCATCATTCTTTTAAATGATTATCTATTGGTTTTATATTTTAACTAATAAAAATAAAATTTTCTCATTTAAAAGAAAAAAAACAAGAACTTCTTTATAATATTTATATTTCAATTTTCTTTAAATTATAATTCATCAACAATATTTTTTAATGAAATTCTTTTTCTCCAAAATATATTTCTACATAAAATTAAGGACATCTATACGAATAAATCTTAACCAATCGAATGATTTAATATTCGCCTCCGCCCATTCAGCACCTGTTATTGTTCCCCATTTTTTTTTTCTCCTCGAAAGGAAAAGGAAGAAGAAAGAGAAAACTATGCAGTTAATCACCCAACCCTTTTTCCACCTACCTTCTAGATGTATGTATCTGTAGGGTAAATAATTCTTTTTTTCGTCATCATTGTGGAATTTTTGACGACGGTTATCATGGTTTTTTGTTGACCCTTTCTCTATCAATGCAAACACTATAAATTCACCTGACACATGACATTATGAAACAAAAAAAAGATATACGTGACGCACAGTTGCTGACATAAACAATTTGTTTTTTTAATAGGCCAATGAGATGTTTATTATATTTTTGATAAAAGGGAAAGTTTCTTTGATATGTTTTGGAAAAAACCTTTTTGATTTTTTCTTTACAAGATCTTGTCTTTTAGATATTCGTGCTTATATTGTTTTTATTTTCTTTTTCAACGCACGAAAATGTGTGAAGAAACAACGAATTATCTTTGGGCAGAACAAGATGTACTTGGACGTGGTGCTACATCTCAAGTATATAAAGCATATAATAAAACAACAGGAGAATCAGTTGCTGCTAAAGTTTATCCAGTATCATCTGATCAGCGTTCACAATATGGAAGAAATGCAAATCAAGCTCAACCAAAAGATTTTCGTCGAATATTAGATCGCGAAATGGAGATACTTAAAGCTACTAATCATGAAAATATTATTCGATATATTGGAGTTGAACCAGTTAAATCACTTGATTCATCATCAATGGGCACTCGTGAAGCTTTATTTATTGAATATTGTAATGGTGGAAGTTTACATAATGTTCTTGAATTACCTGAAAATCGTTATGGCCTTATCGACGATGAATTTATGTTAGTTTTTAGACATCTTATTAATGCACTTCAATATTTACATGATAAAAATACCGTAAGAATAAAAAAAAAAACAACAACAAATAAATTCATTTTAGAAGAAAAATTAATATTTTTGTTAGATGTTTTAAATTTCTATTCTATCATATCACGAAAAACTTTGAAATTTCTTATCCAATGAACTAAATCGAGTTCGAAATTTTTCCATAATGGGTAATTTTTCTATAATAGTTAAATATTATGATATTGGCAGTACGAAATAGTTAGAGATTTTATTATGATGTAAATTCAATGATTGATTTGAATTATACACAGAAACCTGTATCGGATTCATAGTGTAAGCAAATGACAATTTAGAGAAATTCTCAATAAATTTTTCAGAATATGACCGATATTAAGATCAATCTTTTTTTTGTCTGATAAATCATGTTTCTGTTTTACTAAACTAGAATAAAACTTTTTTTTATTATTTTAATTTAGATTCATCGGGATATAAAGCCAGATAATATAATGCTTTCGATTAATATCAATGGTGAACGTACATATAAATTAGCTGATTTAGGTGTTGCTCGTCTTATAAATGAAGGTGAAATGGCTTTTACTTCAATTGTTGGAACGGAAGAATATATTCATCCTGTTTTATATCAGTAAGAACGATCAACTTGTTTTTAAGAATTAATTTAATTTTAAATTCTTTTTTAGAGCTGCTTTACCTGATAAAGAAACAAATATTCTACCAACAACATTACAAACTCGTGTAAATTTTCCATTTGAAGTTGATTTATGGTCACTTGGTGTTACACTTTATCAATGTGCAACTGGTTTGTAATAGAGATTTTATTATTTTTTTTAGGAATAAATTTTATATTATTTTAGGTGAACTTCCATTTCAACCATTTGCTGGTGCACGTAAAGATCGAGCAGTTATGAGACGTATTTTAGATTCAAAACCAACTGGTGTTATTTCTGGTAGGAAATTTCTTTTTATTTTATTATTGTGAAGTTTTATTTTCATTTAAATAGGTATTGAAAAAATACAAGGTGGAGAAATTAAATGGTCTAAAACATTACCTGATTCATGTCGTGTATCACCAAGTCTTAAATATCGATTAGAACTTTTATTACAACGTTTACTTGAATCACAATTAAATAAATTAATGAAATTTCAAGAATTTTTTAATGAAACTGATCGTATTCTTAATTTAATGCCAATTCATTATTTAAATTTAAAACGTTTTCAATTATCTTGTGGTTATTTTGAACCAACACAATCCATAATGAAATTATATGATGAATTAATTCAACAAAATGGTGATGAAAATAATGTTGATTATTATTGTTTATTTCAAAAGTATGATTATATTAAATTTAATTTTAAAAGAACAATAGAGAAAATACATTGTTAGGGATATGATAACAGATGTTATGTAGAATTATTTGTTACTATTGAACTTATCTCCACAATAAAAGATCTTCACTCTAAAAAAAGGTTTCATGGAACCTAAATAGGTTTTTCACGCAGATACAAACTCGGAGTGTTTTTAGTTTTGTGCAGAAAGCACAAAATCTTCTTTCTTTTACAAGATTCTCTATCTTCAATTGATTTCTCGAAAACTTGGAATATTAGTTAGGATATTTAATTTAAAAAATATATAGTTTTTAGAATTTCGAGCTGAAAATTTTACAAGACTGCAGTCAACATTATTTGTGAGTTTCCTAGAGCCCTAAACATCACATATTAAATCTGTAAAATTACTTTGCTGTCCTGAAAATAGTTTGATCATAAAAGAAGATTCAGAGTCGTGTTTTCGACTTTCACACGAGTTACTACTGAAGTAACTCTATTTAGTTTTACATTTGATTCTCAGTGAGAAAGTTTATTAGAATATTCAATACTTTGACCGAACATCCTTTGATGAATATGTAAAAGTATCAAGATTACTTTCGAAAGTGAAATGATTTATATGATCGTTTTGCCTTCTATCGTCAGATATTACCGATATTTGTTTGTAAACAATTTTTATGGATCAAATCTATAAGTATAAGATTCAGATCTTTCTTGGACAAGCATTAGCTCTATCAAATAACTAGTATTTCATTGTAATTAGACTGTTTTTTCCTAAAATTATTATTACTTTCTTGTTACAACCAACATCCTACACTACTAGTCACAATATCTGAGACCAACGTATTTTCTATTCTTTTTTCCATGGTATCCAGCATTTACCTCAAATCAAAATAATGGTTTGAATAGTCAATTAAGTTTTCTATGAAATTTTATAGATGGACAATTAGAGGAAGGTTTCTGAAAAACCTACTAAGGTAGTTTTCAGGTTTCGGACGACTCTGAAAATTAGTTGCGAAGAATACCATCTTAAAGAGAACGAAATCCTGAATAAAATGAGTGGTTACCACATTTCCTACGACCTTCTCTTAAAAAGTTATAAGCATCATAAAGCGAAATTTATCATAACCTTTCTAAAAACTTTTGATATCGTAGAAAAAAAAATTCAAAATATTTTAGTCATATATTTTATATCGAATTTTTTATTTCTACTAGTGTACCATATCCAATATCAAAAACAAAACCAATCTCAATAAAAATGTTCTGTGAACAATTACCAATACCAACATCACGTGAAACTCCACTTGTTTTTTATACATTTTCACCATTAAAATATACTGATTCATATTCACCAAAACTTCTTGTACCTGAAGTAAAACAAATTCGACAAAATAATGACGTTGCTGCTGCATGTGATTGGGCTAAAGATATAGTTGGATTATTTTTTTATGTTAAAAATCAATTAATTGAATATCAACATATATTACAAACTGCACAATGTTCAACAACAATAATGCAACAGCATTTAAAATCAAAATTATTAGAATTTCTTTGTTTAATTCGTTCAAAACTTATTGTTTTTCGTTCAATTGAAGAATTAAAAAATATTCTTGATCAAATTGATAGTAGTACAAGTGGACAAACAATATCAACACATAATTCATCAACGAATGTAAATAATGGTACTGGATCTTCAGGAAGATCACAAGCAAGTGGTGAAGCACCATCTATTGGTTTTTCACATTTATTAAGTAATATATCACCAAATGATAATAATTCATCACCAGGTAATTTCTATTTGATAATCGAGTTTGCTTTTTCTTAATAAAAATTCATTTTATTTTATAGGAACAACACGTCGTCCATCATTAGCATCTTCGATGCAACTTGTTCAACAAAGTACTCGTACTTATCTTCGTTTATATTCTCAACCATATGATGAATTAAGACAATGTGAAGAAAATATTTTAAAAATGATTGAACAAGAATTTGGTGGTCAATTAACTATGATTGATGATCAACAACCATTTGTTAATACACTTTGGTCATCAGATAAAACTAAAACATATTCAACATGGATTCATCGTATAGATAAACATCTTAAAGATTTAAATGATGTTTATGAAAGTTTTCGTCAGGTAAAGAAAAAATTTTTTTTGCTTTTGAATTATTCTTATTGAAATTCATTCATAAATCATATTGAAAGAAACTTAGATCGAATAGTTCATATCTATTGTTAAATTTTCAATACAAAAAAAAAATATATATATATATATATACTGAAAAATCAATTGATAGATATTTTACTGTTCGAACACGATTTTTCAATCCATACCCAACACAAACAAATTTTTATTCTATTTTAGGATCGTTTATTAAGTACTTATAATCGTTTACAAATTGATTCACATTTTATTCGTCGAAAAAAATTCGATAATCTTCATGTTAAATATATACATTTTGCTACTGAAGAATGTTATCCAAATCTTGTTCAAATTTTTCATGATTATAATGAATGGATACAACAACGTTCCGACATGATTCATAATTTTGAACATATTCAACAAACATATGAAAAACAATGTGAAAATATAATGAATTATGTTGATATGATTGATCATCTTCGTACAGTTGTTTATAAAAATATTCGTCAATTAGGTAGTGCATCAACATTTTCACCAACAAATGAACAAAGTCAAACGTCATCATCTGTACCGGCTCATTTTGAAGCATTGCCACATTCAGAAATTATTGTAAATAAACAACTAGCATCATCAAGTTATGAAGAAGATAATCCAGAGTATGCAAATAGAACATTAATGAATAAAATTCGTGGAACAACAAAACAAACTATTCAACATGCAGAAGACAGTCTTAGTAAATTAGATAATGTTCTTAAACAACTTCGTACACATATGACAAAAAAATAATCATAAAAAAAACAAAACAATACATTCCTTATTCTTATTTTCTTTTTCTTTTTTCGTCATATTTATGTAAATTTTCAGTTTCATATTTCTTTAACGAGTTTGTATGCACAAGTGTTCGTTTTGCCTTTTTTTTTTTGTTTTCTTTCCGACCGGTGAATGGTAGTGATCATCATCAAATATTATTTTGCTTGTTCTAAATCTTGGTTTTTTCTTCTTATGCAAAGAAAAAAATCCAAACTAGTTAAATATGAGATGATCATAAAATGACTCACAGAACAGTGATTTAGTTCTTTTGCTTCCTCATTTCTTATTCTGCATCGGTTTTTTTTTTCTTTGTGTGTCTTGTTTACAGCAAAAATAAACGACGACAAAAAAACAACATTGAGAATAATGATAAAGTTTTTCCATTTTGTTTCTTTTCTTCAATGTTTGCTTTTTTTTTTCTAGATAATGAATTATGATTTAAATACATAAAAATAAAAGACAACAGATTATTTTGAATAATTTTACTATGAAATTTTTTTTATTATAAAAGAATATACAGTTTTGGATTTTTATTTATAATTTGTATAATTCAATAGTTTGACATTGACAGGTAAAGTAAAAAAGGAGTATAATTTATCAAATTTTTTTATATTCATAATTTGTATGGAAGTATTAATAACAAGTAGTAAGTTATAATTCGAGATGTAAATCAATCGATGGTACTACCAAGAACTTTTAGTTCGACTTGATACTTCCAATAAAGAATTATAGCATATAGTGTTTGAAATTGAAATCTGATAAACAAAAAAAAATCAGTCTTGTTCATCTCTGATATTAACAATAACCTTTCGAAAGTCGTTGTTAGATTTATATCAGCATTCTATATTGAATTGATCTGAGCAAACTTAAATCTTTTCTTGTATACACAATATTAAACCTTGATTATATATTTAAAAAGCTGTAAAAAAAGATACTCTCTAAGATACAAAAAAAACTCAATCTGAATTTTGTTTTTGAATTCATTATTTCAAAATTTTCTAATTTCTTAATCTATTTTATTTATATTATAGATTTATTGTTATTTTAAAAAAATGGCATCAGGTGATCATGAAAAAAATAAACATCATACAGAATCAGATTCTGATGATGACCGTGTTACAGGACTTGGCTATAAGGCACCACAAAAAATGGATATTGGTTCAATTGTTGCTAAAGATGAAGATGATGAATCATTAGCACGTTATAAAAAACTTCTATTAGGAAATACAAGTGATGGTAAACAAGTACAAAAAATAATAATTGAACCTGATGATTCCCGTACTGTTATACCAATACGTATAACACTTTTATTTGAAAATCATAAACCAGATGTAATATTTGATTTAAAAGGTTCTATAGAACATATACGAGATTTACATTCAAAACGTACAATAACAGTTAAAGAAGGTGAACAGTATCGAACACAATTAGAATATTATGTACAACGAGATATTGTTACTGGATTAAAATTAATAAATAAAGTATTAAAAGCACGAACAATAACAGTTGATAAATCGAAATATATGATTGGTAAAAAAAATTCTTTTTAAAAATTAATATTATTTTGTTATTTTTCTTTTATAGGTTCACGAGCACCAAGTTCAGACATTCAAACATATGTTAGCGAGATTGAACAAGCACCAAGTGGCATGTTATCACGTGGTTCATTCCTAGTTAAATCGAAATTACTTGATGATGATAAAAATGTTTATGCTGAATGGGAATGGAATCTTGTTATTGCAAAAGATTGGCAATAGATATTTGTATACTTTTATTTTATTCTTCTATAAACTTAGAACCTTTCGACAGATTTTTTTTTTATTAAGCTAATTCTTCAACTTACAGGTGTGATGCTGTGCTATAATAGAATTGCTCTTTAGATTCAACTTTTCACGTGCTATTTCTTTTGGTTACTTTTCTTTTTTTGTATTGTTCGTGCATGACAAACCCTGGTGGAAAAAAGAAGGATAAACAACCAGATATAGCAATATACTCAGTTCTATTATTTGTCTATTGGTTTTTCTTTTAGATAAAAAATTTTGAGGGAACAAAAAACCGAAAAAAATAATGCTATTAGAAAACGATAATTTTCTATTGGAATTAACAAAATTATTTCAACAACAACGTGTTAAAAATTCTGGTTCATTATCATTAATAATGAAACGATACGATGGACGAACGAAACCAAAACCAAAATTAACAAAAAAACAACGTCTTGAACAAAAATCATCATCAATTAGTCATCCAACAACTCATGAAACTGTTGTTGAATATAAATGTCTTGTACGTGCAGTATATGGTTCAAAAAAATTATCAACTATTGTTTCATCAAAAGATATAAATCGTTTTCAATTGGCATATTCAAATTTATTAAAAGCAAATATGGATACATTGAAGAAAAAAGCTAAAGAAAATAAAACAACAGGTCAAACATCTACTAACACAAATAGTAATACTCCATTATCACCAAGGATGACAACGGCAACGACAACAACAGCAACAACAATAGCATCATCCTCATCATCATCTGCTTCTAATCAACAAAAGAAAACACCAACAACACCAGCTAAAAGAAAATAATAACAAAATAGGATTATTTAAGATTGAATTTTATGCTGTTATTGATTTTTTTTTTGTTGTTGTTAATATCTTGATGATAAAGAAAAAAAAGTATCTTATCATTTTATTTTTTTTTTTTTTTAAACAACAGATAAACACAAAAAAAAATTCATTGTTCGTTAATAACAATAATTAATATTTTACTTTTCTTTTTTGAACTTTTGTTATTTATGAACTACATTCAGTCTTATGTTGAACACGAACTTCAAAGTTTATTAGCATTTTTTCTAGATTTTAATTGACAAAAAAAAAAGAATCTTGAATTAAAAGTTCAAATAATGATCAATAGGTAGTATTCATATAATAATCAATTGCATCAATAAAAGAATTTTCTTTTCGTTTGTTTTATTTGTCAGAGTAGGTTTTTCATATTATTTTTAAAAATGAAAAATTTTTTTTTATAGAACAATCAAGATAATGTATTTAATCAATTAATTATTATCCATATATACTTTATAATAAAGAAAAAAAACAAGAATAGTATTTTCATTGAATGGTATCATGAGAATAATACTTCGAGTAAATATTCAATTGAATAAATAAAGACATATTTTTCTATATATAGAAAAAAAAACTAATAATACACAAGGTATAATTTACAAGAAGTTGAGAAAATGTACCTACAGAACTCAAAGAATTAGAAGTCTTCGAATTTTATATTATCACTCGTAGACATAGACGGAGAGACATTTTGATTCTAGGGTAGACTCAACCTTTTTTTTATAAGATCCTCATCTGGAAGGTAAATATGAGAAAGGACGTGTTTTTGAATGCTACTTAGATGAAGTACAGTTAATTTTTCTTTTATCAAATTCATATTTTGCAACATGTGACAGTCGTGGAGGTCAGAAAAAAATTCTGACCTATGTTCGTAAATTATGATTTTTTCAGAGGTTTTAAATAGAAAAACTCCGCAAATTGTCGAATCATAGAACTAGAAATACGATGCTTATATCAGGTAGGCAATAAAAAGAAACCGGACTTTTGAATTCTGATATCGTATTTCTTATTTTCATGATTTGATAAACTCTAAATTTTCTAGCTAAAATTGTTTGTGAGCTATGTATTTGGAATACATAGCTGGATGACAATATCAACAATTGTATAGTATTAGTTTCAAAGTTGTTCGATTTTGAGTTATATATGTTTGGTATACAATCTAAAAGCAACCATACAACTTACATTGACTGCTGATCTGTACTTTGATTTCAAATTATGACATACGAACAGTTGTGCTAATCTTTTTAAGTGTTGAAAATTTCTACTTTTAGGAAGAAATGAAAAATAATGGAAGCTTCTCACCTTTTTGCAACTCATATCTTGTCTATTATTGATTGTTTATTTTTATAGAAAAATATATATTTTTGTTCAGACGAATATTTACTCGAGATATTATTCTGATGATAACATCCAAATATACAATTCTTGCTTGTTTAACTTGAGCAAGACAGTTTCAATAAACATGATATATTTGATACGACATACATATATATATGTTAACATCATTCAAGATGAGATTATCTCCAATCTTAGATTGATTTACGTGGATCTCGGCTCCGAGATCAGACATGCTGAGTATCGAATTCTTAATAATGAACTGAGAAGGATCAATGACATCAGTGGCGTGTCCAGAAATTTTTTTCACGGGAGGGGGAGTGTAACGGTATCTTGTGTCGTTACCTGTATATTATCATCTGCTCATTTTCTATTTGTTTCTTTTTCGCGTTTGTCACTAGATTATCATTGTTGTTATTGTTCTTCTTATGATATAAAAAGGAGAGTTTGTTTTATTTATTGATATTGTTTCTCTGGTATCGAGCTTGCCGCATATCGAGGCATATTCAAGAAAATTGACGGTTCTCAGTGGAACCAGTGCGGAGAGAAACTAGTTTTAGACACGCGGAAATAATTCAACCCGTACCTCCTTCAGGTGTTCGTATTATTTCTCCGGAAGCATGGATCCCCCTAATCCTCCTCTCTGGACACGTCACTGAATCACATTTCAATTAATATAATTATCAGTTAAGTTTGAATCCATAAAGTTATCGACAGTTTCATATGAAAGCAGCTTTTGTGCATGAAACCGTTCATAACGTCACAAATTTAAACCTATTTGATCAGTGGATGATTTTATTAATTGATATGCTATTGATCCTTTTCAGTTCTTCAATAAGAATCTGAATCTTACTTTGGATGTTAATAAATATATATACCAGCAAAAGAATATGATCATTTCTAAAACGACGATATTTTAAATTAACATATTAGTCACTATTTAAAAGTTCAAATATGTTTTTACTAAAAATCAATTCCCATAAAGATAACTATCATCTACCTAGATCATTATTTGAATGAAAAAATAACAGATTCAGTCCATTTAAATCAATAAAAAATTTAGTTCTTAGTCTGTTTCTAAATAATTCAATGAAATGTACTAAGAGTACTCTTCCCTCTTTCTAGTGTGTCCGAAGAACGACTCATCAGAAAAATTTGATATTTTCAGGACAGTTGGATCTTGACGAGTAGAGCAAAAGTTTTGATAGATTCAAAGTTCTCAGATACTATCTTCTATAAGATGCTGGGGTCATAATAGTAAAAAATAGCTTCACCACTTCTCCAGCATTCTAGGTTTGATTGAGATACTCATTCCAAACAGTGTATAGTAAATGTGAAACAAGTTTCAGTTCAACCGAACATACAAGACCAGAGAAACGGAAACGGTTTTTTCATTAAGAATTTTGTTTGAGAAAAACGCGATTCGCTATTTCTGTTACCTAAATTTGATTTCTTAACGTTTAAAAACAATTTTTGGATCCGAAAAATATACTCATTAGATAGATACTACATCAAACTACACAATGATTATAGAAAAACAAAAATTCTGAGTATTTCTTAGTTCTTATTTTCATAAATTGAAATTAACCTTTCGAAAAGTATTCCATATTATTGTGAAATACTTGTAAATAAATATTTTTATTTAAATATCTTTCTCTAGTTTAAAAATCATGTAAATTCTTATTTGTAGATGGCTCCTAAAAAACGTCGACAACAAAATAATAAAGAAAATACAGATGAAAATGTCAAAAATCTAAAACTTGATCCAATATCAATACAATCAATTATTGTAATATAATTTTATAAAAATCTAAAATAATAATTTCTTTTTCTTTTTTGTTTCTTAGAATCAAAATCTTGAACAATTTGAAAATGATTTTAATCAACACTATAAACAATATGAAAATAAAATTCAAGAAAAATTAGCTTTTGTTCATAAGGAATTCGATAAATATATGCAAACACATGAATCACAAACAAAATTAGCTCGATTACTTGATCAACAAATAACACGTATCAATCAACAACAACAAACAAGTGGTATTAAAATTTCACAATGTCAAGAATTACTTGATAAAACAAGTGATTTAATGAATGCTGTAAGTTGTTTTTTGTACGGATGAATCAAAATTAAATAGGATTTTCAATTTATTTGATAAATTCTTCTTATTCAAATGTCCTAATTAGAACTTTTCAAAAAAATATTTTTCTCTTTTGTGTTTTTTTTAGTCATCATCAGATACATCACGAACAAAAACATATCTTATTGGAGAATTACAAATGTTACCAATTGGTAATGGTAATAAATGAAATCAACTCAAGGAAACTGTGTCTCTTTGTGTTTATTATAATATTTGTATAAAAAAAAGTCACCGTATACTCTCTTCTATTTGATGTCAGATATTGTATTGTATATTTGTATGTGTAGTTGATAAATCTATATAATAGAACAATAAATAAAATGTCTTGAAAACTATAAAAAAAACAACCATACTAGTAAATTTGATTAAGTTGTCTGGATTACATAAAAGTACATCTGAGTTAAAGGCATTTTCAAAGTTTAGAAATACATTTTAAGTAGTTAATTAGTGTTTAGTCTTTTTTTTCTATATATATACAGAGAGAGAGAAAGAAATTTATAATAATTATTTATATGAATCGATGTTTTTCTATTTATGATTTCAATCGAGGTCAGATTCTTTGTATGTAAAAAAGGTAGTACATTAGTTAGACTATCTCTTTTGTGAAACTCACATACATTTTTGGAAGCAAAAAACGAGTACAAGTTTTAAGTTGAAGTTTTCTGGCTCTCATCTCCGTTACAGATTTTAACAATCGAGGACAACTGGTATCAAAATTCTTTCCCATAGTTCCTTAACAATGGAAAAAGATTTTGAACGGCATTAGCAATAGCACTTAGGCTTTTCTAGAATTTTCCAAAATCTTCGTCAAAATTTGAATATCCGGAATAGATTTATGAATGTTTTAAATAGTGCAGGGTTGGAACCGGTCCGGCAAACCGGTACCGGTCCGACCGGACCGGACCGGTTGAAGAAATCAACCGGGCCGGTAAAGACCGGAATTTTACCGGTTGAAAGTTTTCAAAAATTTTCTTTGTTAACCCTGTTTTTGACCATAAAAACTAAGGTATCACATGTTTTTTCTGTCAGAATACGTGAAAAAGTACTCAAAATATATGTTATATTAATCGTTTTTTCTGAGGTTCTCTTTAAAAAGATTTATTATGATGAGTGCCTTTTACATGCGCCTTAAACTATTTCATATTTGGACCCATTTTTTCTAAAAATCGGTTTTCAAAAAAAAATTCGACATTTTTCCACCGGTTTTTAACCGATTTTCACCGGAATTTCACCGGTTAAACATGTGATTCCAACCGGCCGGTTTCCGGTCGGACCGGACCGGTAGGATTTTTCAACCGGCCGGACCGGACCGTTTTAATATTTCTCAACTGGTTCCACCCCTGAAATAGTGTAATTTTTGGTCATATAGTTCTTTAAGATCTGCTGCTGTAGATATAATGCATAGTTAGAAAAGCCTTGTTTGCCATTTAATTCAATGCCTATAGTAATAACAGCGTTAAATTAAGAAAAACGAAATACACAACTGAAAAATAAAGATCGAATAGCAACAATACAAACAAAACAAAGTGAATCAGTAAAAAAAAGAGAAAAAATTTTCTGTTCGAAATGCAGAAATAAATAAGATAGATTCTTACTCTGGTAATCGATTATCTTGGAAAACAACTATAGTCAACAAAAGATTTTTTACTTTATCTATTTTGTATTAGTTTAATCAGACTAAGGAATATGTCTGAGTTCTACATTTCAGTCTCAAAATAACTGTACTAACACGATTTTTTCGTCTAATATGTGTCAAATCTATGATTTTCATTGTCTCGTTTGGAGTCTTGGAATGATTTAAATCATATCTTAATGAAACTTGGAACAAAACTTTTCTAATGAGATAAGTAATGTAACTGATTTGAAGCTTTCGCCTACATCTTTTAGTTATAAGTAAATTCCAGTAAGACTAAAAAAATTCTATGTTTTTCAATTAATCATTCACATATATTATCTAAATAATAACTAAAATATGACGTCGAAATAATATTATCAAATTAATATAACGCATTTATTTTCAAATAATTGCATTTCTCTTTTCCATATGCATTCAATTTAGATGGCATATAAATGGATCTCGAGAGAAAATCATCATGGAAATTTTCAATATTCTCAAAGTAGACTTTTCTTGCAGCTCCTTTCTATTTAATAAATTAAATTGCTTTTCCTTCATATCTGAGTTAAATATTGTATCATTTTAGTTTTTTTTGGATGCATCCAAGAAATTACTAGAGACTAAGTTCTACATGATTACAAGCTTTGAAATTTTCTAATTTCATCTAATTAAAGATCTTAATGTTGCATAGTTCAAAGACTTTAGCAATATTATTAGTTTGACATGTTTTTAATCTCAAATTATCTTAGAATATTTTGAAGAAAAAAACAACCACTACTTTATTTTTTCGTCATAATGTTAATTGTACTACATGATCGAAAGGTCATGAGCATAAATGTTTTTTTAGAGTTTTCTGTGTCACATTGAACGTCTACTTTTAGTCAAACATTGAAGTCGATAACTCTTAATTATATGAAGTACTTTTCTTGTAAGTAGATTAATTGTGAAAATCATTTGTGAAAAGTTTATTATTGTTGAATTAATATAAAGTTAACGTGATTAAACTACATATAAGCTTATATTTTTTTTTCTATTAATTTTTCATAGCAATGAATGAATTAATAATTAAACAAACAAAAATATGTTATATATTAAAGAAATATGTACCCGTTGATATATCAAATCCGTTTACAATTTCCCGTTATTAACCACGCAAATAATTTTTCTCATGCAATGTTTTTCGACAGAATTCTCTAACAATAATGACATATGGTAGATAAATAACATATTCAAAAAAAAATCATGATTACATTATAAATATTAACAAATATATGATTAAATTTAATATAATATTTGTTCTTCTGTGTGAAAGAAAAAAGCTATAAATTTATATTTTAACAATGAGTATAAAAACTTACAACTTATCTTTTTGAAATAGAAAACAGGTACTACATTATATTTGATCACTCATGCATATCTAAGTATTTAAAATGTAATTTTTGACTTTTCAGACAGTCTATGTATTTATTTTATTATTTGTGATATTTATGAGGAAAAATCATTAGAATATTTCAGGTCTATATTTATTTCATAATTGGTCTTATTCAATAGAATATTTGATTGTGTTTTCTTGTTAATTTAAATTAAGATATATTTACAAGAATTTTTGAAATAGTACTGTTTAGCTCGAGAATACTTATCAATCGTGATAGCACTCTAACTTCTTTTTTCTATAGAAATACACTTCTATGCATGTAATTAAAATAATTATGAATAAAACAAATGCGTTTCTTCTTAAAATGATTCAATGCGACTGAAAAAAAAATGCAAAATTTAATTAATTTCAGTAGTTACACATCGATCCGACATTTTTTGACTAAAGATGAATTCTTTAAACAAAATGTCCTTACATTATATATCTAGTTAGTTCATTATGAACTCAACATAAAACTTTATATAGGTAGAAGATTTTGACATCTATCAATTCTCCTTCAGTTAAATAGTATTTACTTAATATTGAAAGTTCTATAATATAATTTTAATATTTAATATTTAGTTTGTTTTTTTTTTATTCAGTTATCATCTATTAAATAATTTGATTTAATTCATAATTATCAACAATGATATTTTGTTTTTTTTATAGTATATTTATTTTTATTTTTCATCAATATTCATTGTTCATCATAATTCATATTATCAACAGACGATATGATTAATAATAAATATAATTTTATTTTATCATTATTTATACAATCATTACATTTTATTCCACATATATATACATGTCAACAGCAAAGATAGTATTCATTAAAAATAACAAGAAAAATTTGTTTAAAATATTTTTAATCTTATAATTTACAAGAAAAAAGAACAACGACAAAAAAGCGTCAGATGGACAATCAGTATTTGAGAATGATATTGAATTCATAGGATTTTGTTTGTTTGTTTGTTCGTTTGTTTTATTTTGTAATTAAAGCAAAGAAAAGTTTGTGAAAGAATGTTTTGAAAAAAACCACTAGAATGAAAATCTAATTTTAGACGTAAATTCTTTTCTTTGCTGGACCTAGATATTGTCGTTGTGGTTGTTGACAACGAATATTACGATTTCGATCAGTAAGAATAAATTGTTGTTGAGGATGATAATGTATATGTTTATCTGAATTAGAAATAATTGTACATGATATATGTAAATCTTTTAATAACCATAAACTATAAAGAAGTTTACGACATTCATTACGAAATGATCGACCAGTTACACAATAAAGTACAAAATTAGCCTAAAAATAAAAACATGAAATTTACTTTTTCGTTTTTTTTTTTTGCAAAAACTCTTTTATTTTTCGTTTTACCGTATGATTTAAATACATTAATAATGTTAAACAAACATGCATTATTTGCAAGCGTTCAGTTGATTTTTGTCTAGATAAATAATCAGCTATTAATGAACGTATTGATATTGGTAATGTACATAGAACAAATACAAATGATACAATTAATAATAAACATGTTAAACGTATGCCAGTTATATTTGTTGGATCAAATAATTTTTTTTGATTTGTTTTTTGTTTATTATTATGTTCAATAAATATATTATTTCTTGCAGTTTGAGAAGTACGATGTTGTTTATGTATTTGACTTGATGAACGACCAGCTGGAACTGATTCTTGAAAAAAAAAAGAACAAAACAAAAAATGATTGATAATTTGTTAATATTTTTTTTTTGTTTTTTTGTTTTTTCAAGAAAGATTTATCATGCGTGTCATGAAAAAGGATGGTTTCAACAAATAATTGTCATTTATACTCAATAACATTTTACAATTAACTTCATTTCTTTTTTTTGTTCATCAAAGAATATCCCTTCATAATATTTAATAGAGATAATCTTCTGATGAAATCTTAACATTATTTATAGTCTAATGTCTATTACTATATTGAATTCATAGTCTTTTTAGATTCAGAAGACATCGGAATAAACAATAATAGTATCATTGATCCGGAACTTTAATTTCCTAAATACGCACTTCAATAAATTCTTATGTTATTAACAACATAAAACATGTAATCTACATATATGATAATATCCAATTTACTAAAAATAATATTTCAACTTGTAGAATCTGTTTTGTTTTTACAATGAATATAGATAGGAAAATACGTTGTATGTAAAAAATATGAAAGACGTAATTTCCTGTTATTAGAGATAAAACTCAATAATGATGATAAGATATTACTGTTTCAGAACATTCTGATCTAAAGAATAGATAAAGACAAGTTTTGTGAGAAAACAAATCTCCCAATAAACATCTATATTATATATTCCATCATCAACCGGAAGAAATATTACTATAACTCTTACGTTTATAGCTCGGAAATTACTCAAAACAACTATTTTGCTTATGACTATTGACAAAAAATACACAAGACACTGAGAGTGAGTGAGAGAGAGAGAGAGAGAGCATTGAGTGCTTTGATCATTTGACACACAATTAATAAAATTATCAAATTCTTAACTATTTTAGTTAATTATTTCAGACTGCCAGTCAAAACGATAAAAAATAATCCATGATTATTTTTAAATGAAGTTAATCAAAAGTTATCTTATAATCAGCAGAAAAAAAAAACAAAATATTTAAAGACTAACCTGCTGATCGACTACGTAAAAATTGTGTACGATTTGTTGATGAAGTTTTATTTTTATTTCTTTGAGATGTATTTGTTGTTTGTATATAACTATTTGCTTGTAAATAATCCCGTCGTTTTCTTATAGCATGATAAATAGTCAATATAATTAATATATTTAATATAAGTATTAATATTGATGGTAAAATACTATAAAAACATAAATCAATAAATGCTAATAAATTTCGATGAACAACAAGATCACAGACAATATAATTTGGATGATAACCTTCATTTGTTTGTAAATTAATATAAAATAAATCCATTGTAAAATAATAATGTATTGAATATAATGAAAAAAACATAAATATTATTATTGTTATTGTATATGCTACATGCATACGACATATACGTATAGATTGAAATGGAAATCGTACAACCATAAAACGTTCAAATGTAACAGCAACAATAAGCCATGCTGATATATAAGTAAATAAATGTTGAATATAAAAAGCTAAACGACAAAGAAAACTTGAATATAATTGTGGATGATAATTAAATGTTATATCAAGCATAAATAAAAGACAACCAGTATAAAGTATGCATATATCAATAATAGCTAATAATGCAAGATAAAAATAAGATGAAAGTCCCCGACGTGAACGACGAAACATAATAGTTGCTGATAAAATATTACCAATAAGACCAAATATAAGAAATAATACTAATATAATTGTTACAATCCATTTTTTAAAACCTTGTGGAAGAGGATATGGTTTTGGTTCACAATATGGTGAACGTAATGAATTAATATAATCTTCACGTGTTCTATTTTGTGATTCATATTCTGTTGCATTTAAATCTTTTAAAAAATCATCAATATCTTTACATGATATTGAACTAAGCATTTGTACAATATTTGATGCCATTTGAGACGTATTCATTATAGGATGTCAAATGAATATGATATATTCAATTGTGAGTCTTTTTCTTTCTTTTGTCAATCTAAAAGAACAAAATTGCTAATAATTTATATTTAGAAAACTTGAAAGATAATGACGTCAATCTCTTTTTATTAATTGATACTATGGATAATCTTTATATCCGTGGGTTGGCTTTTTCTTTTGTATTCTATCAAAGCAGAAAAGTGTCTTTAAAAAAAAAAAAGAAGAGACACTTTATCTAATGTCAGTTCCTGATTTTATGAAGAATATCTCAAATAATATTCTTTAGTTTCTTGTTTTTTTTAGGAATCTAATGTAAATGTAATCGATCTTTTCTACTTACCAATCAATGAAATAAGAGAAACAAAAAATGAAACAAACTTTGATACATCTTTTATCAGTACATATGTAAAACAAGAAATGTAATAAAATGAGAAACAAAATTGTCTATAAATATAAGAGATTGACGTAAAGTAGGAAAAAAAAAGACGAAGAAAAAAAGCGGAGGTTTGTATATATTTGTGCAATAACATAAATTTACTTGCTGTGCATTTCCTCAATTTATCTATGTACACATTAAGCGGCATGTAAAGACTGGAAAGTGTGTTTATACAACCAAAAATAAAACCTAAGAAAACAATCGTTAGTATGATGTGAATGGTGATAATGATGATGATGGTGGTTGCAATATGCTTATCATTAAAGATTGATTAAACAATACCTCAAATAAATAAAACCTTGAAATATTTATAAATATAAAATATACAATCTTTCTGATAGTTGTTTAAAGTTTAGTTGAGATAAAACAGAACTGTTAAGTGACACTATAAAAAAAAAGGCAAAGTACAAGATATAATTATAAAAAAGGACGCATTGTGAAGGGAAAAGAAAAAAGTCTTAAGAGAGTAAATAGCAATCTACATTATAGACAGATCTATGTCTGTGAATATTTTTTTTCTCTTTAGATGTCTCTCAACTAATCGTAATGATTGACAAATTTCTTCTCCTTACGATACAAGTTTGCAGAAGATCATCAATAATTCAGTTGCAAAACTTTGACGTGTACTTGTTGAATTTCTTCGTTTATATGTCATTGATACACATCATCTTTATTAATGCCATTAACTAAATAACTTGGAAGAAATTGAGGATTAATATATATGGTTTTATACGAAAAAAAAAAATACTTGGCTTATATTTTATATTTCAAGATGAAATTTACGTCTTATCTAATAGTATAGACATGTAATATATGAGTCTACACTTTAGGAAAAAAATTTTTCATTGGATTATAGATCTAATAAAGATAGACATTTCAATCACGAATGAAATTATGTGAATGACAGTATGAAGTAGTAACTGCCACTGACTTTTGTTTTGACATGTCATCACATTTCCGCATAGAGTCTAATCTTTGTTGATTCTCATCTTAATAATTCTGACGCTATCGTTGTTGATCTATAGAACATTATAAAGGGTATTCTACAAAAGAAACTGTCGATAAAAGGGACGAAAAGAGTAGAAAGCAAAAAACAAAAGGAACATGTTTATTTCTTATTGTTTTATTCAAACACATTCACAAAAATTTTGTGTTCCTTATCATTAGTTCTATTCATTTTGTTTTTTAAATAGGATCAAATTTAAAATTATCTAGGCTTTGTTTTTTGTTAACCATAAAAATAACAAAGGCAAATTATGTGTAATAATTACATATTTTCGGTATTAATCAAACGTTTTGTCTTAAATACAATAGACAATATTCATATCTTTTTATGTTTACTATGAATTACTCATTTAAAAAAGAAATACACTTTAAAAAGAAACGTCTTTTTTTAGTTGCTGTAGAATTTTTAGTTACTAAGAAAGGTACATATTAAATTATAACAACAGTGAATTTTGATAGGTTTTAATGGACGAATGTTTCATATGGAGAATAGTATGTACATAGTAGAGTTGAATAGTGTGACGTACATATAAAATAAATATTGTCGATGAAAAAAAAAGAAGAGAAAGAAAAATGAATTTTTTTTCATTCATATTAATGTCATACTTTTTTTTTAATACTTAAAAATACACTAACAAACATTTTTGAATAAACGAATAGAGAATTCAAAATGAATCGTGTTGCCTTTGCTGCTCAAGCTAATGAACTCTTCGGTAATGATGTAATGAATCCACAACAGAATCTCAAATGGATGGATAAACCAGTTGGTGATTCAAGTCCACTTGGTTTTTTAAAACCATTAAATTCATTATTAGTTAAACAAGTTGTTTCACTGACAGAATGTATATCGCAAATAGATTTAGCAATTAGTTTATATTTATTAAATGTTTTTTTTTGCTTTCTTAGTCATGTTTTCCGTTTCTGCTCAAGCAAAATATGGAATTTTTAATGATAAAGGCGAACAAGTTTATTATGCATTTGAAGGTAAACATTTTAATTGTAATCTTTTCTGATGAGAGAAGAAAGAAAAAACTTCATATTGTTTAGAAAGTGATTTTTGTCAACGTATATACTGTCCAGCAACTCGTCGATTTGATCTTCATATTGTTGATAGTACAAATCAAGTATGTTTAGATAGAAAATATTTTCAATTGATTTTTTTATGTCTAATTTTTAGGAAATAGTTCGTATTAAACGTGAATTTAAATGTTGTTCAGGATATGTTTGTTGTGCTTGTTGTTCAGCATGTAGTCATGAAATAGTTGTTGAATCTCCTCCTGGTACTGTAATTGGTTATGTTACCCAAGAGTATGTTTACGAACTAGAGGAAAAAAAAGAATCAAAATTTTATCTATATCTTTCCATCGTTGTAGATGTAGTTTTCATCGTGTGCATTATGCTCTTAAAGATGCACATGATAATGTTATATTGAAAATTATTGGCCCAGGATGTATGTGTGATGGACCATATGCTTGTTGTTGTGAAAATAAATTTACTGTTAATAATTATTAATCTTTAATTAAAATATTGAAAATTTCTTGTTTTTTTTTGTAGTTAATTGGTAATGATGGTGTATCAGAAATAGGCTCTATTCATAAAAAATATCGAGGATTTTTGGCTGAAGCTTTGACTGCTGCTGATACATTTACTATTCAATGTATAAAAATATTTTTTTATTCAGAAAAAAAAACAAAAAACTCAGAAATATTTCTTTATAGTTCCACTTGATTTGGACGTTCAAATGAAAGCAGTTGCAATTGGTGCTTTATTTTTAATTGTAAGATTAACTTTCTTTATTTTATTTCTATTGCCTTTATATATTATAGGATTTTGCTCATTTTTCTGAACCACCTCGAAATCGTAGACGATAATATTCATATTATTGACCAAATAGCATATCTTAAACTTTTCACGTTTATACGTTGGTTTTTTTTTGCATAAAATAATTCTTATATTTTATGCTTATTACGAATAACTATTGGCTGAATAAAAAAAAGTTTGTTTGTCAAGTATCCTTAAAAAAACAACAATAAATCTTATTCGTTTTATACATTGATGATGTCAATTATAGACGGGTAAAGTTTCAAACAAAAAAAAAAAGAAACAAACGATCTACTAATTCAGATTCATACGTTTCTCATTTCTAATATTTGTCATTCTAACCGCAAATATGTTTTTTTTTCCACTTGTAAAAGTATACTATTGGATTTCATTCACAACGAAATATTTTTAAAGTAGATTGCAAAAAATATAATAGGAATATAAAATGAAACATAATCTGTAATAGTATTGATAGATGAAATCTGTATACATGACAGTTTCTTTTTTATGTAGATAGGATTGTTGTTATTTTTCTTATTACATTTCTGAATAAGAATAACAATATTAAACAACAACAAAAAAAAAATAACGAGAAGATGAGAACAAAGAAATGACTTATAAGATAAAAAAATTTATTCATGAAAATTGATTGTTTTTATTAATACGATCGATAATAAATAATATTTTATTGTAAATCTAAATTATTGGATGATTAAATTTATTTATAAGTCATTAAATCTTTTAAGATTAAATTATTTACGTATAGAAATTTTTCAAATATTTCTTACTGAATCATAGCAAAAATTACACATAAAACAAAAAAAAAGAATCATTGAGTCCTTCATAATATATGATTTTATTATGTTATAAATATAGACGTATTTCATGATAATTACGAAAGTAAAATAAAAAGAAAGCCGAAGATAATTATTATGCGTCAGATTAACTGTTATTAAAGGAAGCAAATAAATTGAATAATAAGCTTTTAGTGTTCAAATTATATTAAAAGTTGATTTTAAATTAATTTAATAAGACTTTCAGCAAGATTTATGTTAAATTATGATACAATATAAAAATAAAAGCTGTTAACATATTTTCTGGAAAATGAAAATGTGAGACAGGATGTAGCTGTTGCTACTAATCGCAAGAGATTACATTATTCTGTCTATTTTGAGACACGTTTTCTTTACCATCCGCTTCAGAAAATGCAAAAAGGAAGTAGTACATATATTAAAACGACACGTTATTTGATTTACAACCTTTGGTTATATATCAATAATGTTTGTCGAGGTCTGTGAAGGAAATCGAGGTGCAAGTTTCTACCTCTATATTTCAAAACTCCTTTTAGATCGTGTTTCACAAAAAGTGTAGAATAATAAACCCTTACTATTCGTTTATGTAATGTATCTTTTCATGAACCTTGGCAAGGGTTTGTGACTCATTGCCAGTTCATATAACATTATATTATTTTCTGTTTTGTATTTTTTTGGATATATGAACAGAACAAATTCTTAAGTGGAGAGTTCATCGTTATATGTTTTAAACACAACCGTAGAATAACAAATTCTTCGTTTGAGGATTTATTTCGTTTATATATACAAAAAGGATTTATGAACATAGAAAATAGCACAAGGCTAAATGAATTTGCAATTGGTTACAAGCACTTATTAAGATTTACAAAAGAGTAGATTATACTTATTAACCTAAAAAAGAATTTATCGAATGGTAATAAGTAGATAGTGGAGGTTTACTATTTTACACTAGTTATGTATGACTCTTATCGTTTAATTAAAAAAGAGCTTTAGTGGAGGTAAAGCAAAACAATCTTTAAAAACAAGTTGTAAAGTTTTGTTAATAGTTGCTTCCACATGAAGTATACTTAAATTTGCCATGTGTGTCTCTTCAATTTTTTTTTCTGAGTTTTCGCAATTTGCTGAAATTGATCAGATATATCACTATTCATAATATTAAATTCAATGAGGATATAAAATCTATGTCCATTCATTTGATTGCCATATACCATGAAGAACAATTTTCAAAATTGTATGACATAAAGATCGTTCAATTCTAAGAAGATATCGACTAAATTCTACACAATAGAAGATTCAAATAAAAAGAATTTAATGAGATAATTGACTTGAATTGAAAATGGGATTAATGATAATCAGAAAACAAATTATTCGTTCAATGATAAAATTTTTCTTTTGTTTTAAACTATGAAGATTGAATTTTGCAATTTTCATACAATATTAGATAGTGTGTCTTTTGAAAAAAAAATATCATCAGTATTTTGCTATGGTGACACTAGACAACAACATTCAATATTTTAGATTTGCTGTAGTGCTACATGCGAGTATTATTAGTTCAGGCCTTTGGTGGAAACTTAATCTTGTTTTATTGAAACAAAAATCAATAATTGGTTAATATAACTTTGAAATAGTATATGAGTATGTTTTTTAGATGTAAATAATTAGAAGTATATTTTCATGTTGTAAATCTGTTTATTTGCTCATTACATGTAATGATATAACTTTGGGATTACACAAATAAGAAGCTATAAATAACGAATTGCACATAAAAGAAAGATAATCGTAACATTTCTTTAATAGCTTGATTATATTTTCAATTATTTTTATTTATGCAAATATTTAAAATAACTTTTTATTACATGAAACAAATGATTCGACTCATTGTCAGTGTTCAACAAACAATTTTTTTTCTTTTATTTGCTTGACAGCATGTTCGAAAACTTAAATTAGAAGCTTTTTGAAAATTATACGATCAGACAAAGATAAAAAAAAAGATTTTCGAAAAGATAACTTGGCAGCATTGCATTTCGCGGTATCCAAACAAAATGCTAATCATGTGCTTTTCCAATTGGCTGCTTATACTAGTGCTTTTTTTATTTAAATTCTGATAGATTTATGACATGCACGGGTTCATTTCACAAATAACACTGATGAATTTTCAATCGAGATTATTAATAGAATAGTAGTCTGAAAAACTATTTCACGTCGTTTATCGCTTGACTTTTCAATAACACATCTTTGAATCCACTGAAACTTACCATATATGATGGGTTTTTTTTCTGCATTGTATTGAAACGATGATAAAACAAAAAAGCATCAATTGAATAGATTCAAACCCATAGTAAGACAAATCAAGAAAAAAGTTATTTTGAATATTCTTACATACATAGAAATGAGTGTTATTCTAGAGGGAATCACAACGATGAGTATGAGAATGTGTAGCATCAAAAAGTTTAGTACGCCAAAAAACAAAATGAAGATGAATAATATGACTCATATTGAAAGATCAATGAATGTATATAGGTGTTGATCTGTTTGTGAATTACGGTGTTGATCATCTCTTCATTCCCATCCACACCCTTTATCTTCAGTTTTTTTACAGGCTTAACTTTCTTTGTGTTTATCATTCACCAACTCATTCTAGAGAATTGAAAGATGAATCTTTTATTTAAAAAAGTCGAAATATAATCGAGTCATTATAAAAAAGTTAAGAGGATCATTGTTTTTGTCTTGCCTGTTATTGATGATCTCTTAATTGCAAGTATTCTCAAATATAAAAGTAAATTCAACAAAAAATATAATGCTGTTCGTGTTCTATAATAGTGAATATGAAATCATTTTAAAAATATTAAAAAAACAAAAGAAATCATTAAATTTATTTACTATGCAATAATAGGATTATTTACAGTTTCAATTCATGAAACTTCGGAATAATTTGTTTTATTTTTGTTTAAGCTGTCTAAAATTTTGATCATACGCGCTGATATTTTTATCACTGATAAAGGAATGTTCATAGCTCATATTCATAAGATAAATATAGCTAAAAATCATTTTAAAGTTTTTACAATTGAATTTAACAAAGAACTGTAAGCCTTTTACAAGTTTTAAAGAAAACAATATATTTCTTTCTTTAGTCAAGAATAGATGACATCTAATTTTTTTTTTCGACTAATTTTTCACATGCGCGTCGCTCGAGCTAATATTTATTCTACAGATACATGCTGTATTCCTCACTATATCCTGAAAGTTTCAGTCATAAATAGCAAGAATTTGTTGATGAAACTACAATATTGATTTTTCATAACTCGTAAGATGTTACAGATCTTTGTCAAAGTCAGTTGTAAATACTTTAAAACGATTTTTAACAACATTTCTTTATCAGTGGTAAAAATCTCAGCGCATATGATGGAAATATTTAAATTTATTTTTGTTTGGTTACTTTCTGGAGATTCTATATACATATTTGTTTCGGGCGTAACTCGTATGTACCATTTGTTTTTTTCTGAAACAATTGCACTTTTATTTTTACAATAAAATAGTCAGACAATAAGCTAAAATTTTCAGACCTTCAAAGGACAATCTTGAAAAAAATATCTATTCATCATAGATGCAAAGTTAAACGATTTTTTTTGTTTATTGCATTTGAAATAAAATCCTTCTTTTGTTTAGATAATAATTTTCTTATAAAAAATCTTATCAGATCGTATTAGATAAAATCATTTGACGAAAGGTTTTGAAAAATTAATTGAACTAATCTACTAACTAATACATAAGTTATAATGTACATGTCAGAGATACGCAGAGCAGTTTTTTTTGCAGATACTTATGTTCACGTTACTATTTTATGATATTGATTCATATTCTAGGATGAAATTTGCTCACCTAACTTCTTCTTCTCTAGTTATGTATTGAAATAATACGTTCACTGTAAAAAATAAAGGAAATATATCCTAGTAAGCATGTTAAGTGCAAAATTTCCATGAAAAATCCTGGAATCATGACAAAAATCAATTTTATTTAATAGAAACCAATTCATTTTTTTCTGAAATGATTATCTCAACAAAACAACCATCTTATCTCAAATACAAATATGCTTTTTTTTTGTATATGTGTATTAGGTATAATGAAATAGAACAAAACAATCGTTTAACTATGTACCATATGATGAGTTGATGCCCTTCTAAGATTACCCTTAGCAGGCTTGAAAATCCAACAACAATTCGACTATATGTTTTAACTTATTTCCAAACTATTTTATATCTTATTTTTCTCAAAATTATTTCTTTGACATTTGATTTTGTTATAAAAATAAAACTACAGTTGTTTCAGAAAGAAAAATAAACGGTATCTATGAGAATAATATATCTATATATGGACCATTCTCGACATAATTATATACATTATAGATATCTCTACTAGATAAATTTTACCCGAATGTCCTAAAAATTAAAACTGTACGAGAAAGAAAACACAAGTACATTTTTAGTAGTAACTCAACGAGCTCCATCTACAAAACGAAGAAGAAAAATCACCAAAAAGGATGTTACACAAATTCTATATTTCTAGTACTTTAAATAGAAATTTGAAACAATTTGTTCAAGTTGAAGAGCAACTTCTTCCATTATAAATCTAAAATACGAAAATTTTATATAATATGATATAATGATTCATTTGTTTCTCTTAACAAGTACGAAATTGCGTCGTTTACATATATACATATATGTAATATATATGGATACAGTTGATTTATTTCTCACGATGTCAGCAGAGCATTAATATAAGAACATCAATAAATATATTTATATTAATATTTCATTTGTTGATTTTTTATTTTTTATTTTTTTGTTATTAATAAAAAAACAAACAGAATTATTATATTATAGTCATGAATATTCTGGAACGATCTTCAACAGACGTTATTTCACATAGTAATGAAAATCTAGAAGGGTTATTAATTCATTCATTTGCTAGTCACTACAAGCTAGAAAAATAGATTGTCCTGTCAGCATTACTCGACACTTTTTTTGCAATGAGTAACACACACGTGAGCGTTCTAGATTCTTATTTTGCTGTAATGCATAAGACACGTCAGCTCGTTCTCTTTCGTTATTATGTAACGGCCTTTTTCTTCTATATTTTTCTATGATTACTCATCTACCCCGTTATACGAGTATAAAAAGGCTCGAGAAAAATGCAATGTTGTTCATTCAAATCAACTAAATCAAGGCAAGCATCATGTCTACACAACACGTTATTGTTAAAGCTTACTATAATGATCTCGTTGAAAGTCAACCAGAAATTCGTCGATTTTCTGTAAGTTCTTTAAATTATTATTAATTTGAATTCTAATAAATTGCTTATACGTAGATCGATGCATCACCAACCAATGATGTTTATCGAACATTGGAAACAACTATTTCGCAATTAAATAATAATTATTCTCAAGGTCAATTTACATTACAATATATGGATGAAGATAATGATCGTATTACATTTTCATCTGATAGTGAATTACGATCGGCTTTGAATAATATTGCACTTGGTGGCGTAATTAAAATTTATGTTAAACCAAAAGTTAAAAAACCAGAAGAAGCAGGTCAAAATACAACAGTTCATACTAATATTACTTGTGATGGTTGTCAAGGTTCTGTAATTGGTAATCGTTATAAGTAAGTTTTGAATAATATTTTTCTCATCATATCGACTTTTTTTTTAAATATTTTTCTGTTTAGATGTACGGAATGTCCGGATTATGATTTATGTCAAACATGTGCGGATAAAAATCTTCATCCTGAACATAATATGATAAAATTCACTCGTCCAGTTCAACGTTGCTTTGGTGGACGTCGTCGTTGGGGTCGTGGACCATTTCACGGTGGTCGATGTGGTGCTGGTGGTCCTTTCTGGCATCATTTTATGCGTGGACAACAAGATGGTTCAGCTAGTTTTCCCATGACAGCTGATATGGCTAATTTTCTTGGTCAATTTAAGGGTAAAGAATTAGCTGAATTAGTTGAAGCTCATTTACCTGAATATTTACGTACGGAAAAAGTTAATGAAATAATTAATCGATTTAAAACTGGTGAACAAGCTGACAAACCTGTTGATCAAAGTATTCTTTTAGAAAATATTGGTCAATTTCTTCGTGAAGTTCTTTCACCTTTTGGTATTGATTGTGATTATTTTGTTGATAATAAACAAACAACACCAACACCAACACCAACACCGACTGAACAACCTGAAACAAAGGAAAAAACCGAAGAAGCAACAGCAAGCAGCAATGCAAGTACTGAACCAAAACCATCTGCTCCTTCAACAAATGAAGCTTCATCGGCTTCAGCTGGTGCTCCACCATTTGGTAATTTCCTTGAGCAACTTCAAACAGTGTTTGCTCCAATGTTTCAACCACCAACATCATCGGCAACAACAACACCAACAACTGATGATCAACAAGCTCAAGAACAAAAGAAAATTAATGAATGTATTGAACGAATGACTTCAATGGGTTTTGTTGATTCAAATGGCGTACTTACGGAACTTATTAAGGCCAAAAAAGGTGATCTCAATCAAGTTCTTGATGCTCTCAATCCACGCAATTACAAAAACTAAATCAAAAAAATAATATCTTACTATAAACTTTCATTAGTATTTCATGTAGCATTCAAGCAAGAAAATATACTTTATATTTTATTTTAATCAACTAAGAAATAAAAAATAAAAGTTGAATAAGGCTAAATCTATTATTATTCATTTCATATATCACACAGTGTCGTTTTATTAGCCTCATTTTTTCGATAAAGTTCTGTTTCTCATACAATGACATTCACCGATATTAAATTAGAAGCCTTAGTTATTAATTTAGATATGCTCATTTTCAGATTTCACTACAATATAGATACTCGAAAACATAGTTACGACTATCCATATTTTTCGCCGTACACATCCGTTTGCACTACGTAAACGAATCATATTTAGTCGTAGCCTGGGTCACCATAATACAGCACCGTATACAACATTGTATTTGCGTTGTGTCTATGTCGTGTTCTCATGAAACATGATTGTCGGACACTGGCCTAGCTTACAATAAATTACAGATCGTATACATATCACATTGTTTAATTAGGCTATGATAGATATTTCTGCGATGAATACAATTCAAATATATTGAAAAACTATAAATGCATATGATTTCAAATAATTTAGACAGGTATGTATAACTGATCAAAGATTAATAACAGAACATATGTAGAAAATTCAAGAATAGAGGTCATAGTAACGGACAGGGATGCCACCTGGCCAAGTCAAAAAAACGGAAAGTTCAGTTAGAAAAGCGGAAAAATGCGGAAAGAAAAAGTACAAAAAACGGAAAAATTGCGGAAAGCTATTTTTTGTGAAACTTTGACATTGTTATAGGTTTCAATAACTTTTTGCTTCTTTCTGTGATACTTCTTCATTCTGAAAGTTCCAAAACACAATGAGAAATACATAACGAGGATGAATATTTTATGAAGCACATGATTTTTTTTTTCAAATCAGTTACGTGTGCTGATCCAATGGGTTTCGTTTAGAAACTCCTTTTGAAGCCATAGAACTATATGCATGTTCGCGTGACAATGAAGTATTTCAATGAATCTGTATTTCTACAACGATTGAATCGACTGACATTCAATTGCCATAATAATCGGATATATGTATCGGTTCCGAAAAATACAATTACGGTAGTAGCACTGCTTTTCGAAATAGAACACAGAATGCATCATATAGAATATAATAGATTGTAAATGACCGCTAACTAGAGACCTGCATCGGAGTTAATTTCGAAGTCGTTTCTGAGTCAAATAAATTTCTTGCCAATAATTCATTTGAACATTAGAATCTTTATGCGTTGTAGGCTTTGCTCTTTGGCCGATTTCTTACAATCGGATGTATCTCGGAGATCAAATCAACGTCAAATTGAAGGAAATCGTCTCAAAGAGGAAATCGGAGTCGAAAAACTCGGAATCAAAGTTTATTCCTACTTTCTCTTTGTGTCCGTAGGCCTCAATGTGATGTTGATTGAACCTTCAAGATACATCAACCTGTAGAAAATCAATCAAAGAGCAAAGCCTAGAAAAGCACAAAGATTCCGATGTTCAAAATGAATTATTGGCAAGATACTAAATTGATTTCGATGTAGATCACTACAGCTAACATAGTGTACAGAACCGTAATGAATTTTATTGCCACAAATTTTTAAATAAAGGACAAATTTTAAGTTTCCCATATAAAAAAGTGGAAAATTGCGAAACAGCGGAAAAAAAGCGAAAAAAGTTGAAAAAGCGGAAGAGGTGCCAACACTGACAACGGATTATACAAATGGAAAAATTGTCTTGAAGCTTCTGTATTATAAATCGAAACATTCACATCATAGAATGTTCGTTCATCTCATCAACTACATCACCCATTTTGTCTTCGTTTTTATCAAGTACGTTACTTATGAACAAATCATCCAATCAAAACAGCATGAAGCACATAGTACTGGATATTTTTTAGGTGCAGGTGGTAGTATAGTCGAATTGATTACAATTATTTGTTTAACTACAAACATTCTAATTCAAATCTATTTTGAACATAGAACCGTAGAATGCGCTTCACTAAATGAACAAGAAATCATTTAGGATAAAATAATTTTGCCGGGATCCCGTCACTTTTTGCGGGATAGACGGGAACTCGCGACTTCTCACATAGAAAAGTTAATCCTGCGAGATCCCGGCGAGCTTCATAAAAAATGAGCGACATGGGTTATACAAGAATCGAAAATTTTTAAGTCAAAGACAGGTTCTTTTCATTATAACAGTAGCAACATAAATGTCTCATGAAGCAACAATACAGCAATATGCAAACAACAAATAAGTTCTTAACAATAAGTGTATAACAAAGTGCAATATAGTGTTGCAACCGTAAAACTAGATTCAGTTATATAATCAAAAATGAACACCAATGAATAATGAAATAAATCTAAGTTAATCAATATTACGGCATACCTGTAAGCATGCATGAGACATTAGTCATCTGGGTACAATCATACGAGATATGGGTATATTGATATTGCCACAAGGGCTACGGTACGAAAATATTGTCATAAGAGTGTAAGAGTAGAAATATAAGGATATAGTTATAAAGGTGCAGGAATAAGGACAAGGGTTATAGGAATAATGGTTTAATAATTAAAATATAGGTATAAAGACATAGAAATAAGAATATGGGCAATAGGATATATCGATAAGGATTTATTCACATGAATATAGCTAGAAGAATATAGACATTCGAGTATATGAGTAATGGTTTAGAGGTAAAGGTATAGATATAGGCACATAGCTAAATCGTGTTATACAACAAGAAATTTAAATATTGATTAAATATGCATATTTGTGATGTTATGAGTTAGCATATGGTATAAAAATGAAGTGAGCTGTTCGCATAAATTACTTCTAAATAATATAGATTTGGTCTGCAAGAAATAGTGTAAAATTATAAATAAATATACAAAATCAGGCAATCAAATTTCGTCAACATTGCATATTACATCTTGATGAAAGTTCGTTAAAGTTTATGATTTCCTCTATAATCTTGTAAGAATCTGTGCAAGATCTTACCATCTAATTGTTTGACCTTGATAATTGCTCCTGATAAAACTTCAGACCATCTACATAAGGAAATATGTCAAAAAAACAAAGTGCGAAATGAATATCACAAACCTGGATTTAGAACCAAAGATATAGTCTTCGACTACAAAAATATAATATCATGAATAGTGTATAAATATTTCAATTAAGTGATACTACACTTGTGCGAATGATTCTTTCGTACGGTTTTTTTTAACAATATAAGTAACTTTGTTATTTTTCTATTACACAATAGTGAATGATTGTGATGGAACAAGATATTTTTATTTTTGATTTGACATTATCTATGATATATGATCCTGTTGAAAAATAGCGTAGGCCAACTTAATCAAAGAATTGTCAATTTTCATTATTAACGTAGAATATGAAGTAGTAATTTTAGCGACCTCTTTTTATTTTTTTTCTGTGATCGTTCTAGAATAAATAATCGCTCATTGTGGTTGGTTGTCGAAATATTTATTTATTTATTTACTCTTAAAAAAACAGACATTGCATTTAGAATTGATCAATTCCTAGTTGCCTAATTACCATATTACTATTTTAATGAATACAATATTATCACGATTAAAACCTTTTCTTTCTTCATATACATATCAATCTGTACGTTTTTTAAGGTAAAATAAATTTTATTTATTTTCATAATCAATAATTATTGATGAAATATTTTAGATCAAATAATATTATTCAAAATATTAAGTCAAACAATGAAAATACTCAAACAATTTGTATTATTCCTGATCCAATAGTAAATCGAGGTATTATCTATGAACCACCATATCTATTCGAAACTGATCTTTATCCAAATTATCAATTATTGTCCGTATCTATACGAGGTTATGATTATGTTGTACTTGAAGGTTATTTTCGATATATACAAAAATTAGCTAAATCACTCGATATTAAAGTACCTGAAGCGTATGTAATTAAATTATTCTTCATATTTCTATCTATTATATATTTTATTAGTGTTGCTATTCCAGCTAAATCATCTCGTGTAACAATACTTAAACCACGTAGTACACAAATTGATGTTGAACATCATTTAAATTTATATCATCGTATAGTAAAAGTAAGAATTAAATTAAATGACAAAAAAAAAATAGGGAGTGAATTATTTGATTTTTTTGTTTTTTGTAAATTTAGTTTGCAAAAGTAAAAGCAACAATTGCACCAATTTTATTTGAATGTATACGTTTAAATATTCCTGAAGGTGTTGAACTTAAAATTGATATACCTAATATAGCTGATGATGAATTTCGTTATGTACCTGATGTTGAATTAAAACAATTACAAAGTGAATTACATGCAATTGATCATGAAAAAGAAGAAACACAAAAAGCTAAAGAAGCTAAACGTGTATTAAAACAAAAAGAAAAAGCACAAGCTATGCTTTTATCAATATTATCACCATTTAATGATGAAACAATATCACCAACATCCGATGATTCATCAGATAAAGATGACAAAACCAAATAGTTTATGTTAGAAAATATTTCATTCTCTTTTTTATAGTCTACATTCTTCATTCATCGATAACAGTTTGTATTTTGTTATCTGCTTGTTTTTTTCAGATGAATCGTTTTTCATCAACAAATCATATCACTTAAAATGATATTAAAATGAATAATTATTTATTCTATGTTGTATTGTACAAACAATGATGATCAAATAGGCAGTTTAATCGTATGTTGTATAAATGAAAATTAAAAAGCTTTTTTTTTCTTTAATTGATCCTCTTTAAAATAATAACTTAAAAACAAAAATAAAAAAGAAAATTCAATAGAATTAAAAATTTAATTGAATTCTGTTTTCTTTTTTTTCAGATACACAATGCCTCGATCACCAAGACAAGAAACAAATAAACGAAAGAAGAAATATGAATATTCACCATCAGATGATGAAAGAAAATCATCACGTAATTATAAAAATATTAAACATTCTGGT